GTTTCTGGTAACATATTAAAGAGAATGAAAGTCCAGGGCACTTCTGCCCAGATGGCAAAGGTACAGGCACTGTTGCTTGCTTTACAGATGTTTTCTGATGAGAGTGTAAATATTTATACTGATAGCCAATATGAGGTACATACAGTTATGCCTTTAGAGACAGCAGCCTACATACCATCCATTTCTCCCATTCATGAATATTTATTGCAAGTGCAAGGACTCATATGGTCCCGCTCACATAACCTTTATGTGGGCCATATTAGAGCTCATATTCAATTGCCTGGACCTCTAAGCGAAGGTAATCAGAGGGCTGATGCCATTACTCGTATGGCTGTCACATTAGTCTGTTCTGCCTTTGATAAGGCTACATCAACGTTATCATCTTATTGCTGGATCTCTTCATCATCATCCGGGCATAACCCAGGAACAAGCCATCCAGATAGTTAAATCATGTCCTATTTGTGTTGAATTTTTACCTGTTCCTCATTTGGGAATTAATCCCTGAGGACTTTTACCTAATCATGTGTAGAAGATGGATGTCACACACGTGCCTTCCTTTGGAAAATTACAATATGTCCATGTGTCTATTGATACATATTCCTCCCTAATTTTTGCCTCTGCCCATTCAGGTGAGAAGGTTAAAGATGTAAAGAATCATTGTTTTCATGCCTTTCCTTATATGGGAATGCCAAAATGCATAAAAACTGATAATGGTCCTGCCTACAGCAGTAGGGGATTTTCAAAATTCTGCCAAGATTTTTCTATTATTAATAAGACTGGTATTCCTTATAATCCTCAAGGACAGGCTATAGTAGAACACTGCCATCATACCTTAAAAACACATTTTGCTGAAGTAAAAAGGAGGGAGCTAGGGGCTCATCTCTCCTCTCCACATTCTATTCTTTCCCTTGTTTTATATTTTTTAAATTTTTTATCGGTGGATTCTGTTGGAGCATCCGCTGCAGATAAGCACTGGAGGGCTCCTGTTGCAAATCATCCTCTGGTGTGATGGAAAGATCTTTCTACTGGCACTTGGAGGGGACCCAATCTGGTGTTGGTGTGGGCCCAGGGATCTGTTTGTGTCTTTCTGCAGGAGAATGAGGGGCCTCTTTGGGTTCCTGAGCACTGTGTGTGCCCTGTGGCTGCTGCTGAATCCTAACATGGCAGAGACCTATTGGGCCTTCGTGAAGAACTCTCCCCTTCTGATGCCAATGGGGATTGAGAGCCCAATGTGGCCCGCCTTGGCAAGCATTAATGTAAGCCTAGGAACTATAGCCATGCGGATGGATTCTTCAGAAGGTAATGTACAGTAACTTTTTTCAAAAATGTTGAGAACATGTCACCCAGACACCTTGGAGATTAAGGATAACCCTGAAGGTCACTGACCTCCAACAGTAACATGCAGCTAAGCCTTTTCATTTTCGCAATTCTCTTCAAGCTGGTGTAGTACCTACTTTTCAGGAGTAGCTCTGTGCAACATTTATTGGCCTCCTGAAATTCATCTAGCCTCTTTTGAAGATACCTTAAAATTTGTGAGCCTGAGTGTAGCCATTATGAGACCATTAGTCCTGCTCCTTGTGTGCTGTCTGTTTTTTTTATTTTTTTATTTCTTTATGGTTCTTAGTTGTTCTTTTGCAGAGCTGCCAGCTTAAGTTGTGCTGGGATCAAGAAAAATGGGCCTTGGTGGTTCGTGTTCCTGGAGTTGTGTCCATGCCAGTGGTTGCCCACACACTACAGAAGAGAATTTGACATTGCTGCTGCCATTGTTGCTGTTATAGCAGTGGTGGTCACTGCTGCTATTGTTTCTGGGATTGCTGTAGCTACAGTTTTCCGCCTTACTGCAGGTTAAGCGCACACACCAGGAACCCGCCAGTAACTCAAACCGGCAGCTGCCGCTTATTTGAGAGATACAATTAGGAAGCTGTTTTTAGCTCCATTTTAGAATCTTTTTTCTCAAGTTTTAGGTGGAAACTCTTGCCCCACATTGGGCGCCAGATATAGATGTAACCAACTGTCTTATTAAATAAGAAACACAGAAACAATGCAAAAGAGAAAGCCGAGAGGTCAGAGCTCAGAGCTGAAATCTCACCCTTCCGCCTGCGGTGTCCCAGCTTCCCGAATCAGGGCTCTATTTCCTGTCTGTTAGTCTATTTAAAGAGACAGAACAAGCCACAGCTATCTCACCTCACCAGTTCCTCAGCTGGTCCTGTTTCCTCAGACTGGAAGCTTCTGTGTCCTCATCCCAATAGCTCTCAGCTGAACTGTCCTTCCGAAGTTGCTTTTGGTCATGGTGTTTATTAAGCAACAGAAAGCAAATTAGGAAATACTGCCTGGAGCTGGAGTTACAGGCAATTGTGAGTCACTCAGTGTGGGTGCTGTGAACCAAACTCTAGTCCTTTGCAAAGGCAGCAAGTGCTCTTAACTGCTCAGCCAGCTCTCCAGCCCCATGAACTTAATCTTGATCTACTTCTAATTTACAGACCCCAGTCATTTCTCTTATGCTGTGGATGATTGATTGATAAATAAAATGCTGATTGGCAGGTAGCCAGGCATAAAGCATAGGCAGGACAAAGAGGGAGGAGAATTCTGGGAAGTGGAAGGCTGAGGCAGGGAGACGCTGCCAGCCACGGTGATGAGAAGCAACATGTTAAGGTAATGGTAAGCCATGAGCCACATGGCAACTTATGGATTAATAGAAATGGGTTAATTTAAGATATAAGAACAGTTAGCAAGAAGCCTGAGCCATTAGGCCATACAGTTTGTTTACTTGGGTCTGTGTGTTTACTTGGGTCTGAGAGGCTGCAGGAGCTGGGTGGACACAGGAATATTCCAACAACACTCTTAGGTGCCACAATAGCTCTTTTTTACATTAAACAAGCAAGCAAGCAAGCCAAATTAAAAAAAAAAAACATTGTTCTATGCCAGGTGTGGTGGTGCACACCTTTAGTCCCACCACTTGGGAGGCAGAGGCAGGTGGATCTTTATAAGTTAAAGGTTAGCCTGGGCTACATGGTGAGTTCAGAACAGCAAAAGCTACATAGTGAGATCCTATCTTAAAACAAACAAAAACCAACAAAACAAGATACTGTCCCCAGTCTGGAATCCAATCCAGGGTCAAGTTTGTGCCAGTTCTCAGCCATCCGCCATAGCACTGACATTGTGGAGGTCGGACTACTTATTCCTTAGAATTCCTGTTTGGTAGCTGGGCGGTGGTGGCACATACCTTTAATCCCAGCACTAGGGAGGCAGAGGCAGGCAGATCTCGGTGAGTTGGAAGCCAGCCTGGTCTACAGAGTGAGTTCCAGGACAGTCAGGACAGTTACACAGAGAAACCCTGTTTCCAAAAACCTAACAAGAAAAAAAAAAGAAAAAGAAGAGAAAGAGAAAGAAAGAAGAAAGGAAGGAAAAGAAAGAAAGAAAAAAGAGAAAGAAAGAAAGAAAGAAAGAAAGAAAGAAAGAAAGAAAGAAAGAAAGAAAGAAAGAAAGAAAGAAAGAAAGGAAAAACAACTGTTTGGGCTTGTGTGGTGGTGCCTCTCAGGTAGAATTAGATGCCCTATTCTGTTCCCGATTCCCAGCAGGCTTCAGGGAATGCAGTACTGAACGTTTTCAGGATCTCTCTGAGTGAGTGTCACTGTTTGGCTGGAGGGACATCACAGTGTATTAGACACCTTCACTTAAATGAGTGAAAAACATTCCAAAGTCAGGTTTACCATTCAAGAACTCTAAAAACTGGAGAGATAGCCCATCAGTTAAGGGCACTGGCTGCTCTTCTAAGAATATGGCTCTCAGCATACATATGGCAGCTCACAAACACCTGTAACTCAAGTCCCAGGGGATCCAATGCTGTTGTGGAATATTATTTTAAGATGTGTTACATTTGTTTATGCTGTATGACATTTGTTTTAAAGATGCAAAGATGTGTTGCATTCTTTTATGTTGCATTTGTTTAGCTTTGTAAAGCTGTCTGTGTTACTTTAACTGTCTAAAACACCTGATGGTCTAATAAAGAGCTGAACGGCCAATAGTGAGGCAGGAGAAAGAATAGGCGGAGCTGGCAGGCAGAGAGAATAAATGGAAGGAAAAATCTGGGATGGGAGATCAAAGAGCTCGAGGAGGAGGGGACTCTAGAGGCCAGCCACACAGCCAGACACAGAGTAAGATTTACAGAAGTAAGAAAAGGAAAAAGCCCAGAGGCAAAAGGTAGACGGGATAATTTAAAGTTAAGTAAAGCTGGCAAGAAACAAGCCAAGCTAAGGCTGGGCATTTATAAGAAAGACTAAGCCTCTGTGTGTGTGATTTATTTGAAATCTGGGTGGTGGGCCCCCAAGACCAAAGACCAAAGAGTAAAGAGAACAACACAATGCCCTCTTCTGAAATCCACGATTCTCAAGGGAACCGAGTGCTCACATGGCTCATGTATGTGGTGCACATGCCAACAAAGCACTCGTGTAAAATTTTTCAAAAAAAATTAAAAAAAAAAAAAGAGAAATTTGGGTGTCTTGTTTTTCACTATTTTAACTCAATAATAAAATGTATGTGTGTTTATGGCATGGGTTTTTAGTGTGTGTGTATGTCTCCTGTGTGATAAGGACCATTCAGAGACCTGTGGGATGAACAGACAATGTAAACCGGTGGATAGAGATGGGCCAGAGCCTTTGGTTGCTAGGGAAAGGCCTATGGCTTGGAAGCTGCTGAGTACTAGGCTCTACTCCCATCATGAACTGAGTGCTCACGGAGGTTCGGTCGTATGCCAGGTGTGGTTCTCGTGCCTTGCCTTCTCAGTGAGAGCAGTGACATGTGGGCAGACTCGGTCCTGGGGGCCAGCATGGTGGTCGATATCAGCTTATACCTTGGAAGGTAGTACGTCCTGCACCTTCCTCATGGGTGGGCTGCTTAGGACCTGTGTCCACACAGCCGGAGGGTCCCAGGTCCCCAGGCTACTGTGCGAAGTGCGCGTGTGTGTATGAGAGAGAGAGAGCTCTGTGCCCACAGCTGGGATGTGTAGTCCACTACCTCATTTATTGACAGACAACATTGCTATCTTGACACCATCTGAGACCATCGTCCCTGGGAGGTCAGCTACACCGCTCCCAAGCATGATGGCTCCACAGCGATAGAGGGGGCTCTGTGTCTCTTAGGAACTGGGGCTGTGCTAGACATCCATATGGGCACACTAAAACTGTGTCCACATCACAGAGTCAGGGGGCCTTGGGCACAGCATCCAGACTGCTGGAAGACGGGCTTCTGAGGTCGACTGTGCCTGTCCAAGGCCCAGTGAGGGCCCTCACAAGAGTTTGGACTGGGTTTTTGCAAATCCATCTTCTGCTTTGGTGAGGCAGGTACTAGCTTGGTGCACATCACCACTTACTGAAAACAGGTGACGTGGTCACTGCAGAAGCCTCGAGATGCCTGTCACTTCTGTCCAGCGCTGAGGAAGTCCAGATCACTTGCTGCGAGGGTCATGAGCTCTGGTGCCTCGGGGATAGGTAAGGATGAACCTGTTCCCATTTTGCCAACAGGGTTGAGGGTACTAAGGAAGAAGGTCTCTCCGGGAATCTTGCCTAGGAGTAGAGTCTGGCTTTTGTCCTGGGCTCTGAAGGTGAGTCTTCTCTGGGAGTGTGCAGGCCACTGGTTGGCCACGTTGAATATATTTTCTGTCTTTTTAGAGGATGAAGGCTCTTCTTCTACGATCTCGCAGATAATGTGGTCATCCAGGTACCACCAGTGGTACAGTGTCGGCACGGGAATAGGCAGGAGTGCCAGGATGCTGAGGAAGGTGACCCAGCTCAGGACTATCTTCTGGTAAGGCTGCTTCACTTCCTGGCCCTGGGAACAGGGACAGCAGACCACCAGGGGGAGGGCTCAGTCTGGGTGCAGTGTCCCCAGATCCCTGCTTCACTTCCTGGCCCTGGGAACAGGGACAGTAGACCACCAGGGGGAGGGCTCAGTCTGGGTGCAGTGTCCCCAGGTCCCCGGGGCAGGAGATTCAGCTGAGGGCTCAGTCTGGGTGCTCAGGGTACAGGGTTCCCCAAGTCCCTGGGGATAAGAGATGCAGGATGGGAGGGGGGGGGGCTGAGTTTATGTGATTGGGGTTTGGTGTCTCCAGGTCCCTGAGGGTAGGAGATACAGGGTGGGGTGCCCGGCCTCCAGGTTCCCATGGGCAGGGCCGTACCATACTGTTATTCCAGGCGATATAATTGAGGGGTTCCCTGTGATAGAGATTCAGGAAGTAGATGATGAACAGAGAAAGCAGTGTGGGCAATGTCACGTAGCTCCACAGGAAGGTGAAGGGCGCCCACACCAGGCGGCCCAGCTGGCCAAACATCTCAGCCCTAAACCTGGATGAAGGAAGGAGGTGACCCTCAGGACATGAGGGCCTGGGCGTAGGTAGACCTTCCATCTCTGGCTCTCTCAGAAACTCCTGATGTTTGGTGTGGGGTCCCAGGCCCTCCCTGGCTCTGGGCCGTGTTTTGTCATCCCATGAGAATAATTCAGTCCACGGGACTGTACCACCACAGCCCTTGGCCTTCAGTGTGCTTGAGACTGCATCTTCCTGTAGCATCTGCCTGCTCTCTGAGGACCTCGACTCCCATGGAGTGCCTGTGCACCCTGAAGGCCTAGGATGGCTTTGGTAGCTAAGCAACTCCCCCGGGATTGGAAATCACCTCCTGATTCCATAGACCCAAGCCAGAGAAAGGTTCTGGAACACCACAATGGTGACGAGGACCATAGGGACCAGGTGGTCATCGAACAGCAACACCATGTAGCTTCCGGGGCGGCTGGTGAAGACGATGCTGCCCAGAAGTCCTCCCAAGCAGACAACCACTAAGGGTGGAGGTGGATGGAGCTACATTGGGGTTTGTGAGTTGGGGTCCATGTGAACCCTGGGTGCTTGGGGTGAGGTAGGTACGGGGAAGGTTACAGGGTAGGGCTTTTGTACCTGGGACCAGCTTGGGATACTTTGTGAAGGTGGGGATGTTGTTCTGCAGGGGAGGCACGATGCCCTCCAGGAGCATTATCATGGTGCCCAGACCTGTGATGACCAGAACCATGAAAAACATGATGGCCCAGAAAGAGGAACCAGGAAACAATGAGGCGACTTGAGAGAAGATCACGTATGCCAGGCCAGGGCTCTCCATGACCTGTGGGGAGAAGGGCTCTGAGGCAGTGCAGTGTCTGGATGGGATGGGGTTGGTATCAGACTTGACTAGTAATGTCTGCCATGGGTAGAGACAGACAGACACTCAGCATGGAAACTGAAGGTAAAAGTGTTGAAAGTTGGCCCTCCTTGGCTGTGTGGCCTCCATGGTCTTGCCCCACCCCGATGTGAGCCGCAGCACACAGATGTGGTGGCAGAGCCATGACTAGCACTGTTGGCTGCCGTGAGGCTGCCAGGCTGGCCTCCGTGACAGACGCACCTTCTCCTGCACCAGGATGCTGCAGGGCAGGGATAAATGCACCACCTCTTTCTGGAGGTTCCTGGGGAGCTGGCTGACCCAGGTCAGGTATTCCTGTGGCGGTCTGTGGATGATGTCTTTGGGGAGCCAGGAGGTCTGGGGTAGCACGCCTTCGTCTATCATCCTGATCAGATTGGAGACATTTCTGATAGGGCAGGGAGAGAAAAGAAGACAGGCAGAGAAGGCTGGTTCGTTAGCCATGGCCAACAAGGAGAATGAGGACCAAGTGTGGTGAGATTGTCTGCAAGTCCGAGGTCGGGGGCCGTATCTTTTGTGTATGTGTGTGTGTGGCAATCTTTGTGTTGTTTTTGTTGAGACAGGGTTTCTTTGTGTAGCCCTGGCTGTCCTGGAACTCGCTCTGAACTCAGAGATCCACCTGTCTCTGCCTCCCCAGTGCTGGGGCTGAAACCAACGCCACCAACACTGGCTTTTTTGCCTTTAACTTAAAAAAGATGAAAAGGAAACAAACCAGTGGCCCAGCAGTTCAGAGCGCCCGCTGCCTTTGCGAAGGACACCTGACGCTCGCAGCCCTTTCCAAGTCCAGCTGGGGGCTCCGGTGCCCTCTGCTGGCTTGCCCGGGCCAAGCATGCAGGTAGTGCCCTGAACTCACACAGGCACAGACAGAGACAAAGAAATAATATTCTTGGAAAATCTAAAGAGTCTCAGTATGGATCCGTGGCTGGCCTGGGACTCACAAAGATCTGCCTGCTTTTGCCTCCCGAGTCTGGGATTAAAGGCGTGCGCCACTCTGCACAGCAATTTTTTATTTATTTTTAAATGAACATAATAATAAATTCTAATTTTTATGTGTATGGGTGTTTTGCCTGCATGTATGGCTGTGCATCATGTACATGCCTGGTGCCTAAGGTGAGCCGAGGGTGTTGGGTGCCCTGGTAATGGAGTTACAGAGGGTTGAAAGCCACCAGGTAGGTGTTAGACTCAAACCGTGGTCCTCTGGGAAAGCAGCCATCATTCCTAACTACTGAGCCAGGGGTTCTCAACTTGGGGATCACAGCCCCTTTGGGGGGCAGCGCCAAATGACCTTTCACAGAGGTCACCTAAGACAAATATTTATATTAGAAAACAAATATTTATATTAGAATTCATAACAGTAGCAAAATTACAGTTATGAAGTCTCAATGAAAATTATTTCATGGTTGGGGGTCAGCACAAAATGAAGAACTGTATTAAAAGGTTGCAGCATTAGGAAGGTTGAGAACCATTGATAACTGGGCCATAATTTAATTTCCTCTTTTTTTTTTTTGTTTTGTTTTTTTCCAGACAGGGTTTCTCTGTGTAGCCCTGACTGTCCTGGAACTCTCTCTGTGGACCAGGCTGGCCTCGAACTCAGAGAGGTCCACCTGCCTCTGCCTCCCAAATGCTGGGATTAAAGGTGTGTGCCACCACTGTCCAGATTACTTCCTTTTCTTATAAAACCACATTGTATCATGAGAACCCATCCTAGTGACCTCTTCTGATTTTAATTGACACTCTCAAACATCTGCCTCCAAATAGCATCAACACACAACTCTGGGGAGTGTTTGTGGGAGTGTGAATGTAACTGGCCCCGTAATCTCATGGGGAGTGGCACTATTAGGAGGTGTGGCCTTGTTGGAGGAAGTGTGTCACTGTGGGGGCGGGCTTTGAGGTCTCTTTCGCTCAAGCTTCCCTCAGCGTGACACCACAGGACAAGTCGACTTCCTGCTGCCTTCCGGTCAAGGAGCAGCATGCCCAGCTCCAGCACCGCCTCTGCCTGCACGCCGCCATGCTCCCCGTCATGACGATAATGGACTGAACCTCTGAAACTGTGAGTGAGCCACCCCGATTAAATGGGTTTGTTTGTTTGTTTGTTTTGTTCTTTACAAGAGTTGCCGTGGTCGTGGTGTCTCTTCCCAGCAATAGAACCCCTGACCGGAAACTGCAGCAGCCACGCCTTTTTCACTGGTACCTAGTACTCCATTAGTTGATGGCTAGGCTAATTTTTTTAAATGAAATCTTATTGCTAGGGTTTCAGATTGCAATTACACACCTGCCTACTGGGAGACAATGTCAGTCACCGCTTAGGTCACTGTGAACAAAGCTGAGACTCAGATGTCTGTCACTAGGTGAGCAGTGGCAGTGGGCAGGAGTCGCAGGGCAGGTGATTTGACTTTGAGAAGTACCTGTCTCCAAAGACAGTGGAATTGTTTCGCGCATCCACCAACAAAGCCCAAGGCTTCCTGTAGCTTCCCATGCACACTGGCTCTCACTTAGTCAACTGTAATCCCGGCAGGCATGGCGGTGTGGCCTCATTGAGGTTTTACTTTCAGTTTCTCAGATGTAAGCTTGCTATTGTGGACCTGCCTGTCATCTCAGCATTCAGGAGGCCAAGAGAAGGGGGGTCACAAGTTCAAAGTCATCCTCAGCTACACAGAGGTCAAGGCCAACTTCGGCAACATGAGACCCTGCCTTTAAAAAAAAAAAGCCAGGTAGTGGTGTCACACACCTTTAATCCCAGCCCTCAGGAAGCAGGGGCAGGTGGATCTCTGAGTTCGAGGCCAGCCTGGTCTACATAGTGAGTTCCAGGACAGCCAAGGCTACACAGAGAAACCCTATCTCGAAAAACAAAACAAGTCAAAAAAGTTAGGCCCATGAGATAGTTCAGATCACTTGCCATACAAACTGGAGTTTGCTCTCTGAACCACATGAGAGAGAGAGAGAGAGAGACAGAGAGAGAGACAGAGAGACACACAGAGAGAGACAGAGACAGAGACACAGAGAGGGAGAGACAGAGACAGAGAGAGCGCACAAAGCTGTGCTCTGACCTCCACATGCGTGCTTAGACGTGCACCAAGCAAGCAAACGAACGTTCTGCTAACCCTAACCTTCCTGCCCGTGACCTCCTAATCGGAAGGAAAACTGTCTGAGCTACTCAAAATCTGTGACTGTTACAACAATTAATGAAAACAAGAGACTATGAATTTGAAAAAGAGCAAGGAGAGGCTTATGGGAAGGTTTAGAAGGAAGGGCGGGGAAAATTATGTGACAATGTCTAAAAAAATAAAATAATTAGGGTTGGAGAGATGGCTCAGTGGTTAAGAGCACTGACTGCTCTTCCAGAGGCCCTGAGTTCAATTCCCAGCAACCACATGGTGGCTCACAACCATCTGTAATGAGATCTGGCGCCCTCTTCTGTATACACAATAAATAAATCTTTAAAAAAAAATAATTAAAAGTGTATCAGAAAATTGGTGTATACAAAACAAATTCCAGTTCTGTGCCCATTGTGGCGGCACATACTTTTATTATTTTGTGTGTATGGGAGTTTTACTTGCATGTGTGTGTGTCTACTTTGTGTGGGCAGTGCCCTCAGAGGCCAGAAGAGGGTGTTGGATCCCCCGGCTAGAATTATAGATGGTTGTGAGTCACCATGTGGGTACTGAGTATTGAACCCAGGTCCTCTGAAGAGCAGCCAGTATTCTTTTTGTTTGTTTGTTTGTTTGTTTGACTTTTAGTTTGGTTTGGTTTTTGTTTTCCAAGACAGGGATTCTCTGTGTAGCCCTGGCTGTCCTGGATCTCGCTCTATAGACCAAGCTGTCTTCAAACTCAGAGACCCACCTGCCTCTGCCTCCCGAGTGCTGGGATTAAAGGCGTGCGCCACCACCGCCCGGCTGCTGCCAGTGTTCTTAACCACTAAGCAATCTCTCTTGTCCTGGCATGCTCCTTTAACCCCAGCACTTGAGAGGCAGAGGCAAGTGGATCTCTATGAATATGAGGCCAGTCTGGTCTACATAGTGAAGTACAGGCCAGCTTCGGATAGACAGTGAGACCCTGTCTCCAAAAACAAACAAACAAACAAACAAACAAAAGCCTGGGCCACACCCAGGACCAGTAAGCAGAGCACCTGACTGCGCGCCAACACTTAGCCCTTCGAAGCTCACACACAGTCCACGCCAATGGCTGCTGCCTGTGTCGCGGCAAGCTGTGACAGCAGCCTTCTGGTTAAATAAGCAATCTGGAAATGTTCCTTAGCTTCACTGGCAATTTCTGAAAGTGTTTTCTTCCATTAGGCACTGGGCATTGGTGGGTTCCCTCTTTTGGTTGTTTACTCTGAGGAAAAGGTGAAGTTGGTTCCAATGGAAGGGTCTGGCCTACAGGACTGTGGCGCTGGAGGGCGGCTGAGGTGGGAAGGCCTCTGCTACTCATTGCCGGGTGTGCCACTCACTTCTCAATGCAGCTGGAGCCGCTGGTTGTGGTCCAGAACCCCAGCACCAGGAAGATGATGGACGTGCTCAGCAATGAAGTCGCCAGGTTGGCCGCGGCCATAATGGAGGCCAGCTTGATATAATTGTCACCTCTATTCTGGGAGGAAGAGAAGGTGATGATGGTGCCCATGCCAAGGCCCAGGGAGTAGAGCACATGGCCTCCAGCCTGACGCCACATGTCCAGGGATAACAAGCTAGAGAGCTGTGGGAGAGAGAGGATTCTCAGGCGAGGTCACCAAGGAGCTGGCGGAGGCGAGGGTGCAGGCTGGGAGGAGAGAGGGATGCTGTAGCGAGGGATGGACCCAGGAGGCCTGGCGAAGTGAGGTAGAGGACTCACCTCTGTGGTCACTAGGCGCCTGAGGCTAGCCATGGCACCTTGTAGGAAGAGACTTCGGAGGAAGAAGCAGCAGAGGAGGACGCAGGGGAAGACTATGGAGAAAATCCGCATCTACCCGGTCAAGAGAAGCAGGAAGGGGGAAGACAGAGAACGTTAGCAGGGCTGCGGGTCGGCAGGACGCCGTGAGGAGGCGGGTGTCAGCGGCTTGGAGAGGGAATGGGTCAGTGGGAGACGAACAAGGTGCCATTGCCTGAGGACTGGCACCCAAGGTTGACCCCTGGCCTGCACAAGCTGTGCATACTCCCCTGCACAGACAAAAGGTCACGACAGGAGCCTCCCAGTACCCCATGCCACCCATGCCCCCAAACCACACAGAATCGTGTTCCTGTCTCCAAAGTCCTTATGTGTCTTCCCCTCCCCCCCTTTACTTCGAAGTCCTGCCACACAGTCCCGGCCCGGCAAACGCCATCCCCTCTTGCTGTCCAGCTTGTTTTCTGAGACAGGTCTCACTGGCCCGACTAGAGAAGGCTGCTGGCCGTCTCCCATCTCCACACCCGGTCCTGGGATTCCAAGCGTGCCTTTAGGCCTGTTTTTTTTTTTTTTTTTTTTTTTTTTTTGGTTTTTCGAGACAGGGTTTCTCTGTATAGCTTTGTGCCTTTCCTGGAACTCACTTGGTAGCCCAGGCTGGCCTCGAACTCACAGAGATCCGCCTGGCTCTGCCTCCCGAGTGCTGGGATTAAAGGCGTGCGCCACCACCGCCCGGCTTAGGCCTGTTTTTTTTTACATGGGTGCTGGAGATAAAACTCAGACCCCCACGCTTGTGTCTTTTGTTTGTTTGTTTGTTTGTTTGTTTGTTTGTTTGTTTGTTTTTCAAAGCAGGGTTTCCTGTGTAGCACTGGACATACTGGAAGTCACTTTGTAGACCAGGCTGGCCTCGAACTCAGAGATTCACTTGTCTCTGTCTTCCAAGTGTTGGGATCAAAGGTGGGTGCCACCACTGTCTGGCCATGCTTCTTACCCCGCAGGCTGTGAAGACTAACCCCCACTATCAGCCTGCCTGGACTTAGAAGCATTCTGGAGGTGGAGCATGCCTCTGGGTGTGTCTGTGGAGCTCTGTCAGAGAGGATCAGTTGAGAGGGAAAGACCTACCTTGAATGTACGTGTCAACACCCTTTGGACATGGATGGAGTAAAAGAGGAAGAGGAGAAACCATCTGAGCACTAGTGTGTAGCCTACACGGCCTCCTGTTCTGTGGAGAGCCGAGGATGTGCAGATCCCCAGCACGTGGGGTCACACGCTGCCACGCCTTCCCCTCCACAGAGGACTGCACACCCTCACGCTTCCTAGGGAAAGCTGCTCCTGTCAGGGTTTCTGATGAGAAGAGGAATGGGAGAGAGAGAGGCCCTTCCACTCTGGGCCGAGAGTCCTGGTGGAGGCCGTATCTGCAGGCCTGGGGTCGGGGTTAGTGTGCTGGGCCTCCGGGGATGCCGGAGGGCGTCCGGAGGTTCACATGGACGCAGAGACCAGAGTGTGGAGATGGGGCAGCCACAGGCACCTCACACACTAGAGAAGGGCACTAGAAAGGAAATCAGCTCTGCAGATTACCAGGCACATGCTGGAGGCCAGGGAGGTGGAGGCCAGGGCCAGGGAGGTGGAGGCCAGGGCCCAGGGTGAACCTAGGAGATAGGATGGATGGGCCAAGTTCTGTGCACTGATGTGGATGTGAGGGGTGGTGACCAGAGAGTCATGTCAACAGCTTCCTTGAGGTGCCTATGGCCTGCCTCTTCCCTGGGACCCTTGCTGGGGACGCTGGTGGCTGGTACATGAACCTGTCCTCTGAACACTTGGATGCCCTGAGGCCCAGCAGGAAGGTGGCCATTGGGGCACTTACTAGCACTGAAATCTTTATCCTAAAGATCATGATGACACACAGGAAGGTCCAGGTGGCCAAGAGACACAGGGTGATGTTCAGGACCAGCACCTCAATCCCTTCTTCCATTTGGTCGGAGGCTTGGAGGGTGGTGTGATACCAGAAATACTGGTGGGGTACTGTCCGAAGGCAGGAGAGGTCTGTGGGGGGGGGGGGAGATCCAGATACTTAGGGGCCACCTCACATGGTGCCCCTGTAGCTTGCATCTCAGCCAACCCATCCCCCCGACCCTCTCCTCACCAATCAGACTGACGTTTCCCACCACGGGGCAGTATGTCCACGGTGGAGGATAAACAAAGGACTGGCCAAGGTAGATGAGGCTCCAGGAGATCAGGACACTGTTGTACAAGCTCACCAAGACACAAGCCTGGGGAGAACAAGGTGGGCCTGAGGGGCGAAGCAAAGGAGACCAGGCACCGGGAACTTGCGGGCTGCCAGCCCCCACCTACCAGTACGCTGGAGTAGCCCAAACCACTGAGCCAGGGGACCAGCTGCTTCCAGGCCCGGATGTTGTCCACACACAGCCACTCTCCGATGATCATCTCCATGTACAGGAGGGGGATCCCCACCAGCAGCAGGAGGAGGAGGTACACCAGCAGAAAGCTGCCTGCGGGGGGGGGGGGGGCTTGCTCAGGCAGCTGGGAGCCCCTGGCCCCTCCCACTCCTCCCTGGAGGCCTTGACCCCTTCCTCAACCTCGCAGCACAGGCCCTGGCCTCACCGCCTCCATTCTGGTGGCACAGGTAAGGGAAGCGCCACATGCTGCCGAGCCCGATGGAAAAGGACACCAAGACCAGGATGTTCTCTGCCTTCTGTGCCTGGAAGTGGTTCGGGATTTTGGTAATTCGGATCTTTTTGGTCTTGAAGCCCCAGGACAGGGGTGTAGGGTTGGTGCTCCTCTTGCTGGATGTGGACTCTTCCTCCACATGCTCTTCCTTCTTAGCCTTGGGAGATGCTTTGAGATGTTGGTCCATGGCTCAACTCCTAAAGGGGTCTTAAGGTCACCAAAAACAGCAGACTTTAGGGTAGAACCAGTGTCCAGAGAGGCACAGGGAAGTGGACGGGCAGAAAGCACTCCTTTGGGCATGGGATGTGGGGGTGTTTAATTAATTTATTTTATTATTTTGTGTGTGTGTGTGCGCGCGTGGTTTTTTTGAGGCAGAGTTTCTCTGTGTATCCCTGGTTGTCTTGGAACTCACTCTGTAGAACAGTATGGCCTAGAAGTCACAGAGATCCACCTGCCTCTGACTCCCAAGTGCTCGGATTAAAGGTGTGCGCCACCACCGCCCGGCAATAAAAGTAAATCTTAAATAATGAAAACACCTTTTTTTCTCTTTTGTGAGTGTATGTTAATTGTGTGTGTGTGTGTGTGTGTGTGTGTGTGTGTGTGTGTGTGTGTGTACATGTATGTAGAGGTCAGAGTTCAATACCATGTCTTCCTCAATCATGCTCCATCTTACTTTTTCCAAGTCCAGCACTGAACCTAGTGTTCATATTTGGCTAAAGTGGCTAGTCAGTGACCTCTGGGGATCCATGTCTCTACCTGCCCATCACTGGGATTACAGGTGCTGCCCTGTGCCACCACACTAGGCTTTTATGCAGACGCTGGGCACTAAACTCAGGTCCTCACGCCCCCACAGTGAGCACTTTGCCCACTGCCTCTCCAGTAGGGTTTGAAGACAGCACTTTGCACATTAACGCCCGTCCAGTGCCAGGGGGCGACCGTCCTCATTTACATGCATGCACAGCTGTGTACATGGACGTGCCTTGCCATGGTCCTGGGATGCCAGCTCCCAGGCTGCTTCTCTCCCTAGGAAAAGCCTTGGGCCTCTTCTGTAGGCAGAGTGCAGCCAGCATTCTCTTCGGGAACAGAGCAGGAGCCACCCAGCAAGCTTTGAACTTAGGAAGGGAGAGTGCTGTTTGCTAGGTGGGATACCTCCTGGTTGACTTTTTTTTTAGCTGTGTTGGGGTGGTGGGTGCCCATGAGTATAAATGCCTGTGGAGGCCAGGAGAGGGCGTCAGATCTCCTGGAGCTGAATTACAGGCTGCTGAGACGGCCTATGCCTGCTGTGGGTGCTGTGAACAGTAAGTCCTCTCAGCTGCTAAACTATCTCTCCAGTTTGCTGGTTGACATTTGAGGTTCCAGTTTTAACTAGTTCAAGCTGGGTGTGGTGGCACACCCATCATACCCCAACTCCTGAGGCTGACCGGGAGGGATCAAGAGTTCGAGGCCAACTTGGGCTACACAGTGAGACTTTGTCGCAAGAGTACAAAACGAAACAAGAAACCCTGGCAAATCCTTGACATTAAATGTTTGCTCCTTTAGGTTTTGGAAGGAGACACAGCTAAACTTACAAACTTATATCACATGACCTTTTTATCTTGTAACACTGAGACTGGAGAAACTTTTGTTATAGTATATGTGGATATTATTTTACACAGGATATAACCTATGTATTAATATCTCTATATGTACTATATGAATTTTTCATAAATTCCACACATTTTTCTTCTAGTCTAATGAGTATTTTCCTATGCCATATTTACTTATTATTTTGTTTCATGAGACAGGATCTCTCTATGTTGCTCTGGCTGTCCCAGAACTTGCTGCGTAGGCTAGGGTGGCCTCTAACTCCCAGCAATCCACCTGCCTCTGCCTCCCGAGTGCTGGAATTAAATGAGTGAGTCTACTTATTTTGAGACAGGGTCTCACTGAGTAGCTCTAGCTGTCCTAGAACTCCCTATGTAGATCAAGCTGGCCTGGCACATGAGAAATCCTCCTGCCTCTGCGTCTGCTGTCCTGGGCTGCCACACCCCACGTAAAAACATGGTTTTTCACAGCTGCTCACTATCCAGGGTTATTCCAGAAACCTGGGTACCGTTTGCAGACCTTCTGCCCGAGACAGCCCCGCCTACAGCGTCCCTTCGGCGGCCGGGCTCCCGAGCGGGCGAGGCTGGCGTCGAGGCCGGTGGCAGCCGCCAGTACCCGCCTCAGCGCGCGACCTCACCGACGGCGGCCGACGGCCCCACCGCGCCGCGGCCCCCGGGTCCCCAGCCGGCCCGTGGCGTCACTGCGGCCGGAAGACACGCGGCCCTGCCCTGGGTGGGCCGAGTGAGGTCACCGGTTGCCTTGGAGATCTGGCTTCCAGCGGGCGGAGTGAGGTCATCAGTTGCCAGTTAGGATTCCCAGGTACAGGTGAAGGGGAAAACGGATGCCAGGAGAAATGCGGGGCCGGGCACGTACCTGTGATCCCAGCGCTTGAGAAGGAGCGGTCTGGGAGTTCCGGGTCCACTTGGAAGGAAGGCAGACAGACAGACAGACAAACCCGAGAGAGGGAGAGAGGGCGGCGAGGGGAAAGGTCGAATCTTAAAGATTAAGGATGTTAATGAGCTAGAAACAAAGAGGAAAATGTAGGTCCAAATACTATTTTTGAACCTACTTGAGGAAGTGTGAAAGAATTTAAAAAAAAAAAAATTAAAAGTGTAAACAGAGTCTCCAAATTTAGAATTGTAAGGACATCTCAAGAAATTCTAGGTGAACAATTCCCAACCCTCCCCCCAAAAGTAGCAGTTCTGGCAAACGCACTGTTAAAGGGAGCCAAGGATCTGGGGGTTAAGATTCAGAAGCTGAATACAGACGTATGTATCCCTGAGAGGACCATGGGGCCCGGTGGGCTGAGAGAGGAACTCTACTCAGGCTTCTAATGTCAGTTAAACCAAGCTACTCAAAGCGAGGTCGGTCCACCAACCTTCAGCATCACCTGCTACAGTGATACTGAGAGGTCTAAATTTCCCAGGCGGCGCACGCCTTGAATCCCAGCACTCAGGAGGCAGAGGTGGGTGGATCTCTGTGAGTTTGAGGCCAGCCTGGTCTACAGAGCGAGTCCCAGGACAGCCAGGGCTACACAGAGAAACCCTGTCTCAAAACAAAAACAAAACTCTGTGTGTGTGTGTGTGTGTGTGTGTGTGTGTGTGTGTGTGTGTGTGTGTGTGTACATGCCAGGACCCAGCCACAGCGAGAACGTGGCCGTCAGAAGACAACTTGCTGGGTCCGTTCTTCTACCAGCTTGTTCCCAGAGACGCAGGTTGTCGTTTTGTGGCAGTGTCTTTACCCGCTGAGCTCTCTCACCTGCCTCAGTTCCTCTTCGTTGCTGTGTCTTGCCTCTCCTGAAGCTGCAGAGGGGACTTTGGTGGGCTCTTTCTAGCTTAAGTATGGAGGCTATTCATATGATCTCAGTGAGGGTGTGCGTGAAGGAGTCAGGAACCTAAGAGAAGAAGAGTAAGGTGAGGAGCGGAGCTTTTCCGTAGTGGATAAATCAGAAAATCTCATTTGACTATGGGGAGAGGGAAGGGCAGGGTTACCATGACATGCTATGCATTCTTAACTCACAGCAGCTGTGATCACCTGCAGACCTGTACACTACCGGCCCACCAACATCCTGTCGTGGGGTGCAGCAGGAGTTCCCACAGAGCTTTGCAGCTGCTGGGTTCCGGAATGTTAGCACCTGGCTTTGATCGGCCTTTTGTGACTGCTACCTCTCGTGTCCAGAACCTTCCATTTGAAGTGTGTAAATCTTATCTGAGAGTCTCCTAAAGGCTCAAGCTTGTGCAAAATCTGACTGTGGGAGGACTCAGAAAACTGAGATGTCCTGTGACTGGGAATTGCTCTGGCATCTATTTGGGGAACTTAGATAAGAGGTTCTGGTTTGCAGAAACTGACTTGCTAAAGGTGTAAATTGTATAACAATAAAAATGCCTTTTGGGAAACTACAGTCAGTCAGTTCACCAGAGGCTGACTGACTTCCCAGCGGCTGTAAAGGCTAAAAATCATCCTAGAGTGACCCTGTTTCTTCCATGGACCCTCGTGAACTGAACACCAGACACAATGGAGTAGGAAGCCACTCCTGAGGCCCGCCTCTAGCCGAGGTCTAGACAGTTGATGGTTGCCGCAGAGGGCGAGACACTTTGCTCTGTGGCGCAGTCACCGGCAAGGTGCCCACGAGCCTTTAACCCCTCACCCATGCTTCGAAAAGCAACCCTAACTTAACTCTTCAGGTCGATAAATAAAAAAGACATGAATGTAGATGACGACCTAGTTGGGGAGGGGAAGAAGGGGGGAGGACAAGAGAGAGAATGTGTTAGTTATTTTTGCGGTGCTCTTACCCTGCGAGGAAATGTCACGAAACACGACAAAATCCGCTAACAAGAGTTTTATTAAGAGGAAAGAGACAGACGAGTGCCCAGGCCTGTGGAAGAGACACGTGTAGAGAAGAAGAAGAGAGGAGCTGGGAATATGGCTCCGGCTTATAAAGACTGGGTGGTGTACCTGCATACACGTAACAACTCCACACCTGCACAGATCACATGGTTGCCTTGCACGCTCTTACACAACCATGCAAAGTCATGGATCCTGGTCACGAGAGATGCCTTGACCCGGAAATGGCTATTTTGACCTGGAACTGGCTAGGCGGAAGTGTCCAGGTCCGCCGGGCATGTGCAAACACGCCCAACTGTGGAAGCGTGTTGTGAACCCATCAGAATGAGGGAGAATAAAGTGTTGGTGTCCATGTACTGAGATGTCACAAGACCCGGCTCTGTGTGTGACCAATATGTGCTAACAAACAAACATTTTTAAAAGTCGAATGTAAAATTAATCAGCTTGCCGGGCAGCGGTGGTGCACACCTTTAATCCCAGCACTCAGGAGGCAGAGGCAGGTGGTCCAACCTGGTCTACAGAGCAAGATCCAGGACAGGCACCAAAACTACACAGAGAAACCCTGTCTCAAACAAACAAACAAACAAAAACAAAAACAAAAAATCAGCTTGTGAATTTAACTACCAGTTCATAAGAAATACATCAGATTGCTGGGGCTGGGGGCGCAGGCTTCTCGTTCCAGCTACTTAGGCAGCTGAGGCAAGGGGATTGCAAATGAAAAGTCAGCCTGGGCAACAGTGGGTTTGGGGTCACCCTCAACAACTTATTGAGACCTGACTCAGAAAGCAGAGGAGCGTATGGTACCTGTTATGCCCAGATTGAGACCCCAAAGAGACCACTAAAGACCGAGGATGTCCAGAATGCAACAGCAAGGTTTGTTCTATAGATACAAGTCTAGGCAGGGAACTCATTCCTACACCCAATACAGTGAGGCAGGGAGGAGTTGCTCTTTCTTTGTGAGGCTGGCTTTTTTTTTTTTTTTTTTTTTTTTTTTGGTTTTTCGAGACAGGGTTTCTTTGTGTAGCTTTGCGCCTTTCCTGGAGCTCACTTGGTAGCCCAGGCTGGCCTCGAACTCACAGAGATCCGCCTGGCTCTGCCTCCCGAGTGCTGGGATTAAAGGCGTGCGCCACCAACGCCCGGCGTGAGGCTGGCTTTTTAAAGGCAAAAACCGCAAGCCCTTCAGGGGGGTTGGGAGGATTGGGGGCTTGGCACGGGTGCAACTCGCATTGGTTTATTTTTATTTTTGAAGGTCTCTGTTCTCTTTTAATTGGGTGAGGGTATGTAACCTTTGAATTTACTGGTTGAGGGTTACAATTATCATTTTAGGAGCTGTCCGAGACAAGTCCCAGGCTTTGTCCTTGAGCTGCCATGGGGGCTGGCTGGCCTAGCACGTACTGACTGTGGGGGCTGGCTCAGTGGCCCAGGCTCTGTCCTTGACTCATGCACATAACTCTAAGTTGGTGAGGGGTCCCAGATAGTAAACAACTGGCTGAACTTTTAGCAGTCAGAGTAAGTGCAGAAAGGGAACTACTGCAAGGACTGTGTCTTTTGTTCACGGCCCTCCCAGAAACTGCTTGCTTAAGTCTCAGGAAACTGAAATTGAGGCCTGATCTCTGAGAGAAGACTGAGCAGCCTGTTAAGGCATCTGCTTGGTCCTTTCAGTACCTAGGATTGGACTCAGGCCACCAGGCTTGGCAACAGGAACCTTCATGCACAGAACCATCTTGCTGACCAAATCCTGTCTATCTCTCCATTTCCTCCTCCTCCTTTCTCTGGTATTACTGGGGACAGAATCCAAGGCGGTGTGTATGCTGGACAAGCCCTGTCCCGCTGAGCCATGCCCAGGACTATTATGGTGGAGGGTAAACCGACTCCCGTGGGTAGTCCTCTGACTCCCACACAGGCGCCATGGCGTACACATACCCACACATACACATTGTTAGCACTCAGGCATTTACGCTGGCCTGCTCTCAGGAACCCAGCAGGACACAGCAGCAGCCATGATCACGGGGGTGGGGTGGGTGGGGGGAGATGCTGGGCAGAGGCAGCAGTGGACAGCAGGGGAGACCCACCATTCGGGCATGGTGGCGGTGGCAGCGGCACATCATTCATACCCCAGGCACTGCATCCGCGTGGAAATGAGTTTATTATAATAGAAAGATAGAAAGGTAAGGAAAGAGGGAGAAAGAAAGAAAAAGGGGAGGGAGAGGGCGAGGGTGCACACCTCACAGTAGGAAGACGGGCAGGTGGACAAGAAGGGAAGGGGAAGGGGTTTCCTTATAATGAGGCTTTTATGTCGGGAGGCAGGGCAGCGCCCAGGGGCGGGATTTCACGGGGTGGGTCAGAATACTAACAGTGACACTGTAGCTGCTGCAGCCACCAAGTCCAGCGCTCTCCCCATGCGCATGTGCTATCTCCTCTCGCCTCTCTGTCCTGCTCTGCTCAGAGGCCACCTCTGCACCTTCTGCAGTAAACCTCCACGAGAGCTCTGTTGCATGGTGTGACTTTGTGGTGCCCCTTGGCTCCAACCCAGCAAGGTCACCTTCTGCCAGTAAACTATTACAACACTCACACACTCATGCACAACAAATGTAAAAAGAAAAAAATTAATACAAAGCTACCAAAAATCACGTAATAGGAAAATCTCGTGTGTGGATATTTACTGGCATTAAGTAACTGCTATTTGTTTAGGTTAATAATATTACTTTTGTCAAATTTTGAGAGGGTACAGATGCATACCAATGTTGTAGAATATCATTTTAAGGTGTGTTACTTTTGTTTATGTTGCATTTGTTTAACTCTGTGAAACTGTGTTATGGTGATATTTTATTTGTGCTGAAATGTGATTTTATTTATATGTTAATAAATAAAGTTGCCTGGGGGTCAGAGCTAAGCAAGCCATAGCAGAAGTCTGGCAGTGGTAGCACATGCCCTTAATCTGATCACATGGCAGGCAGAGTCTGTGTGTTCAAGGACACCACCAGCATGGAGACACATACCTTTAATCTCAATACCAACCATAGAGACCTGGAGGTCTGTATAGACAGGCAGTGATGAGGAGGTTATGTGGCTGGGTTTACAACCAATGAGAATGCAGAACAGAAAGTCAATGAAAAGACAGACACACAGGAAGTAGCTCTCTTTCTCAGGGGAAGGACAGCAGTGGCAGCAGGTGATAAGAAGGTGGTTTTAGTCTCAGCTCTTAGCTACTGCTCTCTGACCTCTGGGGCTTTTAACTCTGCATTTGGCTCTGTGTTTCTTATTTAATAAGACCGTTACATCTACACTGTGTTACTGTGCCTGTCTTAAAACACCTGATGGTCTAATAAAGAACTGAATGGCCAATAGCAAGGCAGGATGTAGATGTAACCAACTGTCTTACTAAATAAGAAACACAGAACCAATGTAAAAGAGAAAGCCAAGAGGTCAGAGCTCAGAGCTAAAATCTTACCCTTCCTCCTGCGGTGCTCCTACCTCTCCGAAAGAGAGCTACTTCCTGTGTGTTTGTCATTAATATAGTCTTTCTGTTCTGCCTTCTCATTGGTTGTAAACCCAAACACGTGACTGCCTCGTCACTGCCTGTAAGTACAGACCTCCAGGTCTTAAAGGCGTATGTCTCCAATGCTGGCTGTATCCTTGAACACACAGAGATCTACCTAGCTCTGTCTACCAAGCGCTGGGATTAAAGGCGTGCACCACCACCACCATGCTCTTTCTATGGCTCTAATAGCTCTGACCCCCAGGCAACTTTACTTATTAACATACAATTAAAATCACATTTCAGTACAAATAAAATACCACCATAGCAGGAGAAAGGATAGGCGGGGCTGGCAGGCCGAGAGGATAAATAGAAGGAGAAATCTGGGAGGAGGAAGAGAGGGAAGAGCCAGAGAAGGAAGAGGATAACATCAGGGGCCGGCCACCCAGCTACACAGCAAGCCACAGAGTAAGAGTAGGATTTACTAAAATGATCAAGTTGGTTTCTGCTTCAAAATGATGGGGACAGGCCAAGTAATGAGCACAGGTCCCTCATGCTCCTCCTTCGGATGTGTTCAGAAACACCAGAATGACAATGAGTGAAATCAGAAGCCATCAGGCCTGGTCTGGGACCCAGGGCCCCTTATAACCATAACACTAGTGTAAGGAGAAGGGTAAAGGTGCGTGTGAGAAGGCTAGAGCAAAGGGAAGGCTCAGTCACACCCATGGGCACTAGGAAACTGGCTTGAAACAAAAAGGATCCCAGAGTTAATATAGGAACCTAGGGGACAACTTGCTTTCCTGTTGTCCAATCACACCCACTACAGCAGCCTGGGGTTTGTTCCCAGACAGTCTTGTGGCTCTGTGGCCAAGGACCATGAGCAAGCTGCATCACAGGAGAAAACTTCACTGTGAGCAGAGACTCAGCAAGGTCTATACTCCGCCAGCTTCTCCAAACCCTTGAGCTCTGCTTTGTAATCCTGTTCTGCAGCAGCCCGCAAGAATATATTATAGAGATTCAGCTGTATATTAAAGCTATACCTAGTCAAGGCATTTTTCTAGAGGAAGCTGTTTATCAAGGAATGTTTGGTGTTATTCAGTTTTTAATATATCTGCTGTCTTCTGCTATGAAATTCTTGT